TTAGTAGAGACAGGGTCTCACTCTTGCTCAGGCTGGTCTCGAACTCCTGACCTTGAGCGATCCACCCGCCTCGGCCTCCCAGAGAGCTGGGATTACAGGCGTGAGCCACCGCACCAGCCTTAAATTGATATTTCTGTAGTTTATTTCAGTGCTTTTCAGTCATGATACTAGATTTAGGATTTTGATCATGCTCTGCCACATTTAACAGTTTTGTTTTGATTATATGTGTTTTGGAAGAGATGTTCCAAATTATGTTTTATATTTATTTAATAATAACAATTTAGCGGAATACAGGTTGAGTATCCCTTATTTGAAATGCTTGGGACCAGAATGTCTCAGCTTTTGGATTTTTTCAGATTTTGAAATATTTGCATTATACTTGCTATTGAGCATCCCTAATCCAAAAATCTGAAATCCAAAATGCTCCAGTGAGCATTTCCTTTGAGCGTCTTGTCAGCACTCAAAAAGTTAAGGATTTTGGAGCATATTAGGTGTTGGATTTTCGGATTTGAGGTGTACAACCTGTATCAACCTGTTTTTTTACTTTTTACAATAAGGTAATCCATTTTTTTATACGATAATGATTCTGGTGCAGATTTGCTGGGGTTTTTTCATATTTTAAAATACATTCTATTAGGTGTAATAGAATTTTAAATTTGCTTATGGCAGATTTTGTCTCTGTCTTATATGTACCCTAGGCCGATGATGTCAGTGCTCTCTTGACAGCAGCCATGCCCCCTTCTGCTCTGCCTTCATGTTATAAACCTCAAGTGCTCAATGGTGTGAGAAGCCCAGGAGCCACTGCAGATGCTCTCTCCTCAGGTCCATCCAGCCCATCAAGCCTTTCTGCAGCCAGCAGTCTTGACAACTTATCTGGGAGTTTTTCAGAACTGTCATCAGTAGTTAGTTCAAGTGGAACAGAGAGTGCTTCCAGTTTGGAAAAAAAGGAAGGTGAGACATTCTGCAAAAATAAATTTTTAACTGGTATTGTAGTCCCATATTTGTTATTTGGGATGCTAAAAAGTCATTTTTAACCTTAAATACAACTATTAGTATCGAATTAAATAACATAACCTAAAAGTTTTAGCCTCTTATTGTTTTCTTCCTTCCAAGTTGAGAGTTGATGAATCTTGTTCTGCTGACCTACTCTTTAGATGTAAACCTTTTACTTGTCAAAATTCATCTTTATGCAACAGCATGGAACTTGTTTTCATAAACTTTTTTTGTGAAGTAGCTTACATCCTGAAAGTTATGAAGACTAATTTTAAAGATGCAGTTAAATATAAAGTTCAAAATAAAAAATGATTCTTTTAACCCTACAATGCCCCATTGGTTAACTTTTTTCTAATATTGAAATTTTATAGCTTTATCTCTGTAAATTTTTTTTGTGTAGACAGAGTCTCACTCTGTTGCCCAGGCTAAAGTGAAGTGGCATGATTATAGCTCAATATAACCTCAAACTCCGGGGCTCGAGTGATCCTCTTGCCTCAGCCTCTCAAGTAGCTAGGAGTACAGGTGCACACCACCACACCTGACTAATTTTTTTTGTTTGTTTTTTAATTTTTTTTGTAGAGATGGGGGTCTCACTGTGTTTCCCAGGCTGATCTTGAGCTTCTGTCCTCAAACGATCTTCCCACCTTGGCCTAATCAAGTGCTGGGATTGCAGGCATGAGCTCACCATGCCTAGCCTCTCTTTCTGATTTTTAATGTTATGTTCAGTATTATATCCCAAGTGGCTATTAATATTTTTCCTCATCTTTATTTCTTCACATATAGTAACATTACAAAGCTTTATTGTTATAGTGTTGAAATACATTATTCTGATGTGAAATTTTGTTCTGGACATTTTTTTTTCCCAGTTCCAGGAGTAGATTTTAGCATAACTCAGTTTGTAAGGAATCTTGGACTTGAGCACCTAATGGATATATTTGAGAGAGAACAGGTGAGTGGATAAATAGTATTGCTTGGTTTAATGTTTTATGGAAACTCAAAATTTGGCACATACTTGAAATGACCTGAACCATGTAAGCTATTGAAGGAGAGTGTTTTTTAAGACACTAGAAATCAGTCACTTGTACTTTGGCTTAATCTTGGAATTTCCAGTTAGCACATAATTGACTCTCATGTAGTAATTAATAGTAAAATAGCTTTCATGAATTGGAAAGTTCAGCTTGTTTAGTCCCTGAGCTCTATTTATTCAGTTCTGTTGTATCAATCACTACCTGCTCTTAAGCCTGACACTTTCCTAGCTACTATATGAAGGTAAACAGATATGCCACCATGTATCTAGGCAATCTTAAAGTACTTTGTCAGAATACACTACTGATTTTTTGTGGTTGTTTAGAAAATATTGTTACTGTGTATTTACACCCTAAGGAAGTTTCCATCCAGTTATGGAACTAGAATAAGAACATAGGAAGAGTTAAGTTTTGGCATAGATTTTAGAAATTCAGAAAAGGAAAAGATGGCTGTGAGCTGGACTATTCAGGGAAAACTTCATGGAATGTGTATAAATAAAATAGGATTTCAAGGAACGGCTTCAATTTAATGAAGTGGGACTAATAGAGTATTAGAGGTAGAAGGGTTACTTTGGTTTTTTGTTTTTGTTTTGTTTTTTTATAGCAACAGGTCTCACTTTGTTACCCAGGCTAGAGTGCAGTAGCTTGATCATAGCTCACTGTAACCGCAAACTCCTGGGTTGAAGTGATCCTCCTGCCTCAGCATCCTGAGTAGCTAGGACTACAGGCACATGCCACCCGACTAATTTTTTACTTTTTGTAGAGATGAGGTCTCACCATATTGTCCAGGCTGGTCTTGAACTCCTAGCCTCAAGTGATCCGCAGCCTCCCAAAGCACTGGGATTACAGGCATTAGCCACCATGCCTGGCCTTAAAAGGGTTATTTTGAACAATGATGGAGAAGTACCACTTAGCATATTCCAATTCTGGAGGATCCACTGAAAGGCTTTATAGAAACAGGGTTGGATGTAGAGCGATGATGGTAGGAAAGTATTATGGAAAAGGTAGAATAATATACTTGAATGTCGTTAATTTGAAAGTGCATTTTTGTTTTGCACTTCAGTTCTGCTCAGGTTTTAGTGCTAAATGAAAATAATGATATTTTTAGTAGTTCATGACTCAGCTTTCTGTTTCATTCCAACTTTTCATTTTCAGTTTAACAACTGGCATGTTTTCATTTCTAAGCTCTTTAAAATAGTTGAAGTAAATGTATAAACCTAATACATTACAAGAATACCAATATATGTATGCCCACCAAATGAGTAAGCATTCTAAATAGTTTCATCCTGTTTTGTAAGATCACTTTGGATGTATTAGTTGAGATGGGGCACAAGGAACTGAAGGAGATTGGAATCAATGCCTATGGACATAGACACAAACTAATTAAAGGAGTTGAGAGACTTATCTCTGGACAACAAGGTATTTCATTTTAACAACTGCTGTCATCAGTTTAACAGTTTCCATAAAGGTATCCCTCAATGTACTAAATGATCATTTAAAAATATGTATGAATCTATTTAATAAGGAAGAGCACTATTTGGGATTTGGGAAACCTAGGATCAAGTCTTAGCTCTGCTACTGTTAAATTTACTGAGGAGCTGCTGTTAACTGTGTGAACCTACGTAAAATTTCTGGGCCATTCAGAAATTTGGGGATTGTTTTAGCTCTTAAAAATTAGGAAGTTGGATGATATTATTTCTGAAGTTATTCTAGGTCTAAAATTTTATGATACTAAATGGTCTGAAACTTGAGTATCTCATTTCTTATGGTAATATAATGGATAAAACTAGGTGTTCAGGTTAGCCCCAAAATAATGTCGTAAATCTCTTATACAGCTAAAATTCTAAGCACGTGGAATGAAAATACTAGAAAACAATAATGTTGCAACTGAAGGAAATTAAATAAAACAAAGTTGAATTATATTTTATTTCTCCTTAATATTGATGCTTAAGAAAAATGCAAATTGCATTCATTCAACAGATGTTAATAGTTCCTGTGTACCAGATCTTAAAAAGGTGAATTGTGTCAGAACCACATTTTTAACTTTATTGTTAAACTGAGGAAGCGATTTACCCTGTGGTCAAAATTAACTTGTAATTGTAAGTCATGGCAATCACAACTGGGGTTGGAGAAAAACCTCCACAGCAAAAATGAAGAGATTTTCAGGGAAGAATGTATGTTACCTGGTATGGACTAGGACGGAATGTTTAAAATGCAAGATAGTCTTAGCTATTTCTAGTATAGACAAAATTTTATAAGGTAAAGAGGAGGGAAAACCCATAGCTTCCTGGAATATTAGTTTACAATACAATTAGCATTAAAAATGAAGAGGAAATAGAACCTTCAGTCGTGGACCACCATTGTGACTCTGCTGGAATAATACTAATCTGATATGATAGCAATTATAGTGGAGTATCAGGATAATGAGTATTTCGGGAAAGAGGCAGGGTAGAAAAGGAAAGCAGACAGTGTTTATACGTTAAATGCATCATAGTATAGTGATAAGTACTGTGCTGAAAGGCTGAATTGCAGAAATAGATAAACTGCCTCCAGGTGGCAGAGGTACCTCCATGCCACCTCTGGTCCTGTAGTCACTGATACATCCAGCTATTGTTGGTTGAAACCATTGATTCCTACATGGAGGAGAAACATGGTCATGAGACCAACTGTCCATGTCTGAGTTAGCAATTCAGGGTCACTTTCATGCATAAAATTACCACCTTTCTCATGTTCATTTGAAGACAGGATTCTGTACTTATACCTAATTTGCAAAGTGGAACCAGTGGCTTCCTGGAATGATCTTCCAACAGTCTGTCATCTTGCTGACTTAACAGCCTTACCTATTATTCAGTGCATCAAGTCAATAGACTACTAGTACTGTACTGATCTTTCAATATTGATAAACATCTTCCCGGGTAGGTTGTGGATGCCTTAGTCAAGCATTCGTCACAGTCTGTAGTCCATAAAATATTCTCCACATGCTCTCTGTAATTCCTAAAACATTGTGATTCAGCCATTTCTGTTAAAGTCTTTATCAGAGTCCAGCAGGTTGGTGATAGTCTTGTACTTCAGACCACAGCTCATAACTAGAATAACGCTCTTGATCTCCAGAGGCAAACCTCCATGCATTGACCCAGCAGGAAAGGGTTTGACCTCCTACCTAGGAAGACAACAGTTTTGAAGATGATATTATAGAGGTTAAAGGAGAAAGTTCTGTTACAAATGTGCCCAAAGAAATTCGAAAATTCTGTTTAAAATTCCATTTAAAAAGCTTTTGTGAGAGTAAAGATGCAAAAATATATATGGTTATCTTGATCATTGACATTTGGAAAACATGACAAATTCATTGCTGAAGTAAAAAAATCTGTTACAGGTCATAGCAGGCATTCAATGGGTAGTAAACTTTATGGACTTCTCATTCTAGGGTGATTTTAAATTACCTGAGGCTATACTAGTTTCTATCATAATTCTTCCTCATATTTACAAAAAATAAAGGGATTAAATGTTGAGAGGGCTGCATAGTTAAAGTAAAGGAAGTAATTTGAAGAAGAATATGTATTACAGACTCATTAAGAATAGGAAATAAAGAAGAGAAAGATTTTCTGAAATATTCCCACAAAACCTTGTAACTTGTCAGGTCAAAAATTAGTAGTCTGAATACAGTGGTGGGAGTCCTGGTTTTGACTAGAACAGAAAAAGGACATTAGTGGGGAAAATTGGTGAAAAAATGAAGTCTGTAATTTGGTTAATAAGTTTTGATAAATGTGCTGTGGTTATATAAAATGGTAATATAATATTAGAGGGAGTTGGGTGAAGGGTACACAAGAACTCTCTATACTTTCAACTGTCCTATAAATCTAAATTATTCCAATATAAAAAATTTTTAAAAATTGATAGCATTAGATAAATTGGTTATTTTCAGTTGATGTTAATTGTTTTATTGACAAATTTTTGTAACTTCAAATTTAATTTCATAGGTCTTAACCCATATTTAACTTTGAACACCTCTGGTAGTGGAACAATTCTCATAGATCTGTCTCCTGATGATAAAGAGTTTCAGTCTGTGGAAGAAGAGGTATGTTCATATGCTTAAATAAAAATGGAAAAGATAGGTCGACTATATTATGTATTGTTGGTTCAGTGCTAAATTTCTTCGAGGTTTCCAGATCTATTTGAACATGTAGTATGGTTCTAAAATTGTCTCTTTACCCCCCTGAAAACTTTGGAAGTAAGCATTTAAGATTTAAGGTACACTTCCTCAATAAACCTTAATTCCAGTTACTTGGTTCAGCACTGCAATTAATAGTAACACAGGATTCTATTGGAGAAGAAATTGCTGTCATTGGAAAGAAAATGCTTATGTTCCCTCCTTTCATGAAGGTAATTGCAAAGCTTAGTATTTCAGACAGGACTCAAAACATGTGGATCTATTTATCTAGAAAAATTTCTTCCAACTTCTTTCCGAAGTTGGATCCACTGAAATCCTGTGTAGTGCCCTCCTTATTCTCTGAAGAACATATACATTATGTGTGTGAGTTGAGCACAGAAATACAAAGTTGAGTGAAACTTAATTCTAAAACTCAAGAAACTCCAACTCTCGATGAAACACATATTATGCTTTATGAGGCCAAAATCAGTAAGAACAAATAAGTCAATTGTTTTGTATTTTAGTATGTCAAGTGGTTAGCCTCATATGTTTAGCGTACCTTGCATCCTCTTGTTTCTTTCTCTTCTTTTAGTTTGCATTATATAATTTTCACCTATAAATATTGTTTGAGGTTGACTAACAGCTATCTCTAGAAAAATAATACTCATGAATTTATAAAACTCATATCCTTTGAACAACAAAAATGTTAAAACCCATTTTGTAGTCTCAAAAACAGAATCATATGAGTCAAGAACCATGTTCCCAAAATCAGAAAAGACATAAAAGCTAATGGATGTATGTTTCAAATTATTTTTCCATCAGATGCAAAGTACAGTTCGAGAGCACAGAGATGGAGGTCATGCAGGTGGAATTTTCAACAGATACAATATTCTCAAGGTAATAAATTAGTGAAAATAAAGTTTCCTGAGACCATAGTTTTCAAAGCCTGAAGCCATAAGTAACTTGCATAAGACATAATGATCTGTCCAGCCCAGTGAGTCCTTGACATGGCATCAGGGACTATTTTGGGGAAGAATTTGTCCTTGAAAGGTTAAGATTCTCAGAATTGCTGTGCTATTTTTAATAGCCAACAATAATTCACCCCTTGTTAAACATATTCAAGTTCAGGGCTTATCTTTTATCTTGGACTAATGATAAATCCTGTACATTCAAAACTTTAAATATATAAAATATTATGAAGGTACTCTATTGTAACAAAGCTGAATTTTTTTTGTGGCTTATATGAAAGGGTTCCATTTTTATAGTGATACCATGTTTTTTTGTTTTTTTTTTATTCTAACTGTGACTGCTCCAGACACAGTTTGGGAGTCCCCAGACATATCACCTTTTTATAAACTTTAAAGTACTCCCTCTTTATCTTTTCCAAAAAAGTGTTTTAAAAATGTCTTGAGTCATTCTGTGACAGTCCTGTCTTCTTATTGATTTCAGTTAACTCTTCTCAAGACCTTTTCCAACTTTGGTATGCTTTTCATGAGCCGAGGCAATCAAAACTGTACACCATACTTGAGATACATAATCATTTTGTATTAACTACATTGACACAGTATATTCTTAATAATTGTAAAAATAAGACTTGAAATTAAAATTAAAATGGCATTTGTCTATTTTTTCCTATTTTCATAAATTCAACCAAGTGGTAAGTAAGTCCTATAAATTTTATACTCAGAGTAACAGTATCAGATCTTTCATCTGTATTATATTACTGTTTCTCTTAATATACTATTATGAGTATAATATTTAATAAGACAAATAAGTATGCCTATTACAGGCAAATTTCAGTCAAATCCACTTTGTCTATAAGCATTAACAAAATGTGTAGAGCTTGTTAAGGGTGAGGGCAAGAGAGAATATGTGTTTGATTTCTAAAGCAGTTGGATTTGAGAAAGATATACTATTTCCTTCCTCTATAAAGGTATTTTAATGCAATATTTAATGAAAAATTTTTCACTGATAAAACGGGGATTTTTGGTTTTTTTATTATACATAAGTGAAATCTGTTTGCACCAGTTAAATGGTCCTTGATTATGTCTTTGGCAATATTTTGAGTTATTTGAGCCAAGATTAAAACCTCCAGCTTCCAGGTATGCTCTAGGGACCAGCAGGGGGCTGTAGCACTTTTAAACATAGCTAAGAAGCGGCACTAAGAGTGTGAATTTTGACCATAGAAATACACCTAATGAGACCAGCATTGATCTTTTAAATCTCCAGACAAAAATTTTAGGAATTAGAGGGTAGAAGGAGTAATGGGGTGGAGGTGAAGAATGTTTATTGTACATTCTAATATTTTAAATTTTTTAAATTATTATTATATTTTAATATTTTTAAATAAAAACAAGTTAAGATGTTACTTTGAGCCAGATAAAATGGTGGGAAAAAAGATATTATGCTCTAATTCTTATATACAGAACTCAGTATGTCTGATTTAGAGGTGTTTTAGTAAAAATTTTAAATTAATGAGAATGGAAGTAGTTTAATCAATTAGCAGTATTCTTAATCTTCACATAGGGCTGTATGTAGCCTTTTTTCCCTCTTTGAAGTTTTTTATTTCCAAAATGTAGCTACACTTCTAACTTCATGGTTGGGACAAAGTATTTTTAGTTGGCTAAAATAATACATTTTACTTCTCAGAAAAAAGTTTTGCTTCCTTTCTGGCTAAATGTGTGGCTCATCTTTTGGTTAAAATGAAGAAGTAGGTAGGTAATTATTAAGACCTAAAGATTTGATTTTTCTGGTTTATTTTTTGTAGATTCAGAAGGTTTGTAACAAGAAACTATGGGAAAGATACACTCACCGGAGAAAAGAAGTTTCTGAAGAAAACCACAACCATGCAAATGAAAGAATGCTATTTCATGGTAAGATTCCTCTCCCCCAACTCTACCATTGTGCTCCTCCACACTGGGATAGGGGGATGGGTTGTTTTTTTTCTTTTTAGGTCAGGTATGAAATAATAATGAATCTGGTGTTTTTGAGCCAGTGTCTCGCTTTGTCACCTGGCCTAGAGTGCAGTGGCATCATCATAGCTCACTACAACCTCAAGTTCTTGGGCTCAAAGCAGTCAATCCTTCTTCCTCACCCTCCTGAGTAGCTGGGACTACAGGCATGTGCCACCACGTCCGGCTAGTTTTTTTATTTTTTGTAGAGATGGGGTCTCACTCTTGCTTGGGCTATGAATCTGTATATTTTTCATGTCGTTTTTTAAAATAAACCTAATATTTCTATAAATTTTCCACTTATATTCATATTTTTGGCTTTTTAATTTGTATAATTTATAATGGATGGTTGATAAATAAAACTGCCATAATGGAAAAAATATAGAAATGAGAATGTTGGCTATTTGTTTTCCCTTTTTCTTTATATAGTAGATTTTGCTGACTATGATCACTCTATAAGAAATTATTTTACTTTCAACTAGTTGATTGCATTAAAATTAAATAAAGACCTGAAGATTACCTCAGAAGAACATATACATCCTATTCTGATTTTGATTCTGAGTGTCAAAACCACATTTAACTTAAATGTTCAAAGAGCCATTATTATTGAACCCATGGAGGTTTCTGATAACTCTTGTTTAATTGAAAGCACCGTTACTTTATCCTTGAAATTTCCTGTTTTTGTGTCACGAGCTGGCAGGTGTTGATTTCAAGTTTTAGCAAAGTTAAATATAGATATTCATGTAGTATTTATCAGGCCTTCAAGCACATTATCCATAGTAGCTCCAGTTTGTTCCTTCATTGTCCTTGATTGCGGAAAACTTTTAGAGACCTGTAAAGTTCTATAAAATACAGTATTTAAATTTCACAGTTCCCTGGAAGAATGGCCATAACAGAATGGATTCATATGCAGTATCTAAATGGTACCTCTCATTCCAAACCTCTAAAAAATCATCATGGTAATCTCTTGGCACAGAGCATAATACATATATGTATATATGTATTAACTCAATGGGTATAATGAGTGATTTTTCTAATTTATAATATAAATGGTTTGGGTTTTTCCAAGTTAATTCAAAAAATCATCCTGTTCATCTGTATTTCTGTAAAGTGCAATTCAGTATGTCTTCCTGTCCTTTTGTAAACAGGGACACTGATCTTGATGAATCAGTTAGCTGTGTTATTTTGGCTTTTTCCATCCCCCACTCTGACCCCACTTCCTGGCTTGATTCCCATGCTCAGTAACTCCTCTTTGGCTAAGCACTCCCTTGCAAGGAAGGAGGAAAAAGAAAATGTGCAGGGAATGAGGGGAAAGTACTGCCTTTGCAGATGGAATCTTGTATAGCAGGTGATGGAAGAGAAGAGGAAGGATAGAAGAGAAAAGGTATAAGGAGGAGAATAAGAATGTGAAAGTCTACTTGGGCCACTTTTGATATCTAGAGAAAGTATGTAGGCATGGGCATTATTGTAAGACCTAATTGCATTCAGCGTTTCTATCTGAAGTGAATTAAGAGATGCTTGATTCTGGATTTATATGGTTGGCACCTGGAATTTGATAACTCTGCTATTTCAAGTCTGTTTTTCTAGTTCAATCTGTGTCCTTATTTTGGCATCTGAACCATCACCCTATTAAAAATGTTAATTGACTTTAACAGTTCTTTATTCTAAAATAGCTGGCTGACAGTTAACTTCTTACCCTTTCTGTTTTGGCTTTATTGTGGTGGTGCTGTGTGTTTAAGAATTCAACTTCTAAGAGGCTTTCATTTTTGCCTTTTCTTCTAAGATAAATTTTAAATTGTTGTTACCCATCTAAATGTATTTCAGGATCTCCCTTTGTGAATGCAATTATCCACAAAGGCTTTGATGAAAGGCATGCATACATAGGTGGCATGTTTGGAGCTGGGATTTATTTTGCTGAAAACTCTTCCAAAAGCAATCAGTATGTATATGGAATTGGAGGAGGTACTGGGTGTCCAGTTCACAAAGACAGATCTTGTTACATTTGCCACAGGTAAGAGATCACTTGTTCTCATTTTTGATAAGATTCAATAACAAATTAGTTACATATTTGAGAAATTTTGAGGGCTAGGTATTATGTTGGACAACTTTAAGAATGCAAGCTAGGCATGTTTTAGGTTGTTTTTGGCCCTCTCACCAATCATAATAATAGCTAATATTTACCTAAAATATTAGCTAATGTTTAGCTAATAATTATTAAATGGTTAAATCATGATTCTAAGCATTTGACCTATTTAACTCATTTACTCATTAGAACACCTGGTAAGAATACTGACTAGAAAATAACATTGTGCATGAAAGAGACTTTATTGTAGCCCTTGAATATTATAGGATTCTTTAAAAATCTAGTATTCAAATGCTAGAATGGCATTATTTGCCAAGTCTAAAAATTTTATGGTGATGCCTAAGAAAGTCTCTCTTCCACTGTGACATGATACTAATCCTCAGTTTGTAGTATTACTGCTATTGGAAGAGTTATAATTAAAACACTTTATAATAAAAATCCCTTTAGAAAGCAAATAATTACTTTGCCCCTTTTTTTCACCACTTTTAATTACCTGTTCTAACTCACTAGTTAAAATCATTCAAGTAACTTGGTCCTAATTTATAAATTCCTCATAGGCAAAAAAGTATCTTCTGCCATTTGAAAAATCAAGTAATGTTAATTACTGAGATATATTCCACAGGGCACTGCTTATAAAGATCTAGAGCAATAACTATCAAACATTAGCATGCATCAGAATCACTTAGAGGGTATGTTTAAAACACAGATTCCTAGGCCCTACTTCCTGAATTGCTGATTTAGTAGGTCTGGGATGGGGCTCTAGAACTGGAATTTCTACAAAGTTCCCAGGTGTGGTGCTATGCTTCTGATCACTGATCTAGAAGAACCCCTAGAGCAGTACTTTGCATCTTGGCAGCACATTGGAATCAGCTGGGGAGCTTTAAAAACTAATGACTATGTCCCACCCTCAGAGACTGTCGTTTAATTTGTCTGGGGATGGTCTAGGCATCAGGATTTTTTAAAGCTTCCCAGCTGATTTCAAAACGCTACCAAGCTGAAAAACTGCAGTCTTGGAGAGAAACAAGGTCTGTTTTTGTGTTTGTTTTTTCCTATTGTTTTCCCCCTAAATTTAGACTCACATAGGTGTTACACAGGAGGTTCTCCTGGGTATAACCTCCCACCCACTTCTATTTTAGATCATAAATTAGACTGGTTAGGAACTTATAATTTCCCAAGATTATATAATTGAACACTGCTGTTTTTACTTGTCATATATAGTCTGAGGGCTAAATAGTTGTTGTTGTTGTTAGTAATAAGCAATGTTCTAACCTCCCTCTTTGGAAAATAGAACCATCAACTGGTCCACCAAAATCTCCTATTCTCTTCTAGAAAGAAAAGAAAAAGAGCAATAATGAAGTAATACTAATAAAAGGTTCTTTGGAACTAAGAAAGGCCAATCACATGCCTGAGGGGCATGGGAAAGTAATCTACTTAAACTGGTGGCAAGGGGAGACCTACCTGAGGAAGTAGCATTTTAGTTGAAGCCTGAAAACTGGGTGTCAAGCAGTAGAAGAGTGGTAAAATAGATACCATTCTGATGGTGAAGAAAATTATATGGATGGAGGCTATGGGATAAGGAAGTTTGGCCTTTGTGAAGAAAAAAAAAAATTAGTGCACCTGGGCCATAACGTAAAATGAGATTACAGAAATTGGAGCCATTGTGAGGAATTTGGATTTTCTTGTAAGTACAGTGAGCAGCCTCTAAAAAGTTTTAAGCAGAAAAATGACATGATCTGATTTATGTTTGTTTCGTTAAATTACTGGTTGCTTGGATGGAAAATGGTTTGGACAGGATTTAGAGTAGAAACAGGAAGACTGGTTAAAAGGCCATTGTTATGGTCCGGGTGAAAATGTAGGTGATTTGTACTTAATGGTGGTAGTAGAATTAAGAGAAGGCAATGGATTTCAAGTATATTTTGAAGGTGGAATCAACTGGGCTTATGTCCAACTTTGCAAGCCACTTCATAGAAGGCCCATAAACCTTCTCTTTCCCACTTGTCCAGTGACTTGTGTTTTTGCTGATATACAAACAAAATGGTAGGTTATTACATATTTTAGGTTTTATAGTTAAAATAAGGATTAACTAAATTGACAGATTCTTTCATTAATAAGAATAGAAGACATTCTTTCAAAGTTCTTGTAAGGGTGAAATGATAAAAACAATCATAAGTGTTTATATATAAATGCATTTAAAGAACTATGCAGTGTACACAAATTGTCATATTTCGTGTGTCAGATTTGTCTTCAGGGTGATCTTTTCCTTTTCCTGTTACAGACAGCTGCTCTTTTGCCGAGTAACCTTGGGAAAGTCTTTCCTGCAGTTTAGTGCAATGAAAATGGCACATTCTCCTCCAGGTCATCACTCAGTCACTGGTCGGCCCAGTGTAAACGGCCTAGCATTAGCCGAATACGTTATTTACAGAGGAGAACAGGTAATTTGGTTTTATTTGTTCATCTTCAGAAATGCTGTAGAGCCATGCTTTTAACTTTACCTAATCTCTTAAACTGACAAGGCATACTGCCTTAAGAAATTGATTTTTTTAAACTTTTATTTAGAAATAATTTCATGGAGAAACTCATTGGTGTCTAAAAAAAAAAAAAAAGAAATAATTCCAGGCTCGAAAAGTTGCAAAAATAGTAAGGAAAATTCCCTTATCCCCTTTACCTAGATTTCTTAAATGTTAACATTGTATCATTTTCTCCCTTTCTCCTTTATCATTCTCTCCCTCCCCATCATTCTGGGGGCGGGGGGTTGTGTGTACACACTGTGGTCTCCAATCCCCGGGCCACAGCCCTGGGCATCACTGCCCAAGCTCCACCTACCCCCGCAGTGGAAAAATTGTCTTCCATGAAACTGGTCCCTGGTGCCAAAAGGTTGGGGACCGCTGTATGTACATATTTTTCTGTGAATTGTTTGAGAGTAAGTAGCAGGCATGTCCCTTTACCCTTAAAGACTTCAGCGTGTATTTCCTAAAAATAAGAACGTTCTCTTAAAATTATCAAAATCAGAAAATATCATTGACATAATTATATCTAGTCTACAAGCCTTATTCAAATCAAATTTTGCCAGTTGTGTTCGATCTTTTTTTTTTTGGCTTTTGTAGAATATAATTAGTTGGGATCCTGTATTTCATGGTAAACCTGTAACAAAGACATATATAATTCTCTCCAGCTCTCAGTGACACAGATAGAGTGAAAGCAGTTCTAGAGCAGTGTTCTGAACTGGGGATAGGTTATCAGAATCACCTCAGTTACTAAAACCAGACAAACATGTACTTAGTATTCATCCTAGATCTGCTGATCGAAAATCTAAAGGATTGGAGTCAAGGTGAGGATGTTTTATGAAAATGCCCCCTAGATGATTCTATCTATAACACTGATTTAGAACCTCCTCCCTAAAGATTAGGAATCCTATGGAAAGGATCTTCCAAGAAAATTTGTATACTAATATTTGAATTAATCTTTCTCTTCCAGGCTTATCCTGAATATTTAATTACTTACCAGATTGTGAGGCCTGAAGGTATGGTCGATGGATAAATAATTGCTTTAGGAAACTAATTCCATTGAACCTAAAATCATCAAAGCAGCTGGTGGCCTCTAAGTTTTATTCCTTTGCTGAGAAAAATCATCTTGCCCACAGGCCTGTGGCAGAAGGATTAAAAATGTGAAAGAAGTTTAACATTCTGACTTGATAAAGCTTTAATAATGTACAGTGTTTTCTAAATATTTCCTGTTTTTCAGCACTTTAACAGATGTCATTCCAGGTTAAACTGGGTTTGTCTGTACTAAATTATAAACAGTTAACTTGAACCTTTTATACGTTATGCATTGATTCTAACTGAAACTGTAATGCCCTCAACAGAACTCATTTTACTAATACCGTACTGTGTTCTTTAAAACGCAGCATTTACACTGAATACAATTTCATTTGTAAAACTGTAAATAAGAGCTTTTGTACTAGCCCAGTATTTATTTACATTGCTTTGTAATATAAATCTGTTTTAGAACTGCAGCGGTTTACAGAATTTTTTTCATATGTATTGCTCATCTGTACTTCACCTTGCATTTTCATGATTGAGTGATCTTTGCATTTGATTCCAGAGACTATGTTGAGTTGTTAGCAGAAATTTAGTTGGGAAAGATTGATTTATCACATTTAATTTGCTGATGGAAGCCTTTATTGGTATTAGAAATCTTTCTCATTTAAGAACTTATTTTATGAATACTCTGGGGATTTAATTCGTGATACTTTTGTATGTATAAGACACACATTCCAAAGAGTTCTAACTATGGTAGGTCCTGGTTACTAAAGAAGCTTCTTGACTGGCTTCAAACTCTAGATTTCAAGTTGGAAGATTTTCTGATGTCATTCTGTGAGAATTTGGGCAAGTGCTCCTATTTCTTAGAGGGGCTAAATCCTGCTATTGAACAATTATGGTGTTCTTTTCACAGAATATATTAATAAATAGGAAGTTAAATTGCAGAGGTAGGAAGGGTAATCCTGGATAATTTCCCAGTCTGTTCTAATTACCTTAAATCTAAAGGGGGAAAAATAGTAAATGGATGGTTTTTTATCCTAAGTATTATTTTTTTCCTGTTATTTTTTCTTAGTCTTATTGTTATATTTATAGCCAATCTATACATCGTGGGTAAACTCAACCCAGAACCATAAAATAAAATGTAGGTGTCTCAGTCCTCTCCTGGCCTCGTGAATGGTCAAGTGCAGTGAAGCCAGTGATTCCTGCTCCTGGGTTGCGTCTCGGCAATGCCCAGTTGGAAATCTGTTTCCAGTTTGTGCACCATATGGTGACTAAGCCTGTGGTCACTTTGGCACCTGTGGAGGGAAGTGCTGTCCCATAAAATGCTATTCCTAACTATTTTCTAATATAAAACTTTTTCCAGGAAGCATGCTCAAGCATCTTGGTACAGAGACACACATGTGTTACAGATTGGCAATCTGTTTTATTTGTTGATTCTAGCTCCCTCTAAAGTCAAGGAAAGATTTTTACTCATTTAATGAGGACATTCCCCTTCACTCTCTGTACCTACCAGTTCACCTTTGTTTTGCATTTTATTCAGTGTCTAAATTAACTGGCTCTTTGCAGTAACTTGTATATAAAGTGCTAGAAAATCATGTTTCTTGTCCTGAGTAAGAGTTAATCAGGGTAAATGCATATCTGGAGTTGTTTCTATGATGTAAATTGTGATCATTATTTAAAAGGTCAAATCCTGACCTTGAAGTGCTTTTATACAGCTCTCTAATAATTGCAAATATGATCCTAAAGTCATTTCTTGGAACACAAGTGAAGTATGCCAAACTTTATATAAATTTTTCAGATTCTCTTAGCTTCCAGGTTTTATAATTAAAAGATCATGAGACAAATTGATGGGGTTTATATTTACATACTTTCTCTCTCAACATGTAGCCCATATAACTCACCCTATGAGTGAATCTGGAATTGCTTGTCATTTAAAATCATTGTGGTCTATGAGTTTACGATATTTTCAAACTGTGTTATTTCATCTAATCCATTACTTAATTACTATTTTTCCATCATGATTATATTGTGGTTAATACGTTAGCATGGCAATATTTTCAGATAGCTTTTTATTTGTTGGGAGGCTGGGGTTTGGGAGGTGGTTAGTGCTTTGCATGAAATATCTTACTTTATAATGGTGGAATTGCTTTTTCTTTTGTCCTGTGACTTTTTTTTTTTTTGAAGTGAAATTTAACTTTGTGTGCGAGTAGTACTATTATACCTATCTTGAGTGTCTTACTTGTACTGTATCACATTCCATACATTCGTTTAATTCTTAATAAACTGTTCACTTGTTTTTCTTGGTAGCATGGTAGTTACTGGAATAGTATAAATGTGTTGAATGGTCTTTGAGAAAATGGATTAAGCTTACAATAAACCACAATTGCAGGAAAACCAAGTAGTTCTGAGTTTAATAGTGATAAAGAGTACAGTTTAAAGTTTGAAATATTGAATATTGTGGCCATGCTTAGATGTTTTATGATGAATGCAGCTGTAAGATGCTTTTAACATTTAGTCTATGCAACACAACTTTGGTAAACCTTAAAGCTCATTCCTGGGAAATCAATCTTCTTACCTTATAAAGAGGAATATATTTTTTATTTCTATGTCATAAAAACTTTCTTAATAAGTTTCCAAATCTCAAAGCTAGTGGTATTTATTCTCTTAAAAGAAAGTATAGTAGTGTATGTATATTAGATTTCAGTATGCTAAGTTTCCTGTATGTGACCAATTCTCTGCTTCCCGTAAGAGAATGATGGTGCAAATAATCCATAAGTCATTTGGCTTTGAATTATATTTCAGCAGCTTTAACTTCCTGTTTCGTTTAGGATAACATTGAAGTGTTCGCTGTTTCACCTATGCATGCCAGTCTCAGTGTGTGTGATGTGATCCAGTTTGCAGGTTGTTGAGGCAAGAAAACATGCAAATAAATTTCCCAAAGCTTTTATGATTAGTACTCCTGACTGCGCCTTAATCTACTGTCCTGTCCTACTAGAGGACTAGAGTAATAGAGGAAGTGTTGGTACCCATTTTCCAACAGGAGAACTGTCAGATTTCTACAGCGTTAGACTATGATATGGCCTTTCACTATCTCCTGAGTCTCCACACCCTCTCCCCCTTTATCCTTACTAGCTTAGGCAGGCTGTGACCTAAAATACTTAATTACAGCCTCCTTAGAAAGTTCTTGCTTTCCGCATACAAGACACTGTTAGTAGAAGTGTCATCTCCACTTTGTCACTCACACACAGTTGTCATCTCCATAACACAAATATGTGTGGAACCCAAAAAGGAGTCTGCCAGTACACTGTAGGGCAGTGCTACACAAAAGTGTGGTCTGCACATGTGGTTGCTCTGCAGGCTGTTTGCTACCAGCCCATGGAGAGATGAATACAAAATGAGGATAAACTTTGAAAAACTTTCACAGCAATTTAATGTTGCTATATGTTTATTTCTTTTATTAAAATGTTGGCCTGCAGCAGATTGGAAATTAAGGGAAAAAACTGATCCTTCACAAATAATTTGAAAAGTTTAAGAACAATATCTACTTTATATGCCAGTAGACTGAGCACCTAGCATATCTGGCACATAGTAGTTCCTCAGTAAATTTTTTATTAAGTGACTAGTGATTAAGTGATTGGGCTCTAGAGTCTGAGGTACCTGGATTTAAATTTCACCCTACCCCCTCACCAACTGTGCAATCTTGAACAAATTACATAACCTCAACATCCTCTGATCACAATGGGTAAAACTAAAAATTACGACAAAGGGTAAACAAAAATTCTAAACACCTAGATACTTAAGATGTTTTCTTGGTTCAAACAGGAAGGTGAAATTGCAGAATGGTAAATGGGATAAAGAGATCACTATGAAAATATGAGACACACCCAAAGCAGTGTCCAACATATTTGAGACCTTAAATATTTATAATAAGCATGAGAACAAAAGTACTCATATTAACTGACAAAGTTACTAGAACCAAAAAGAAATAAATAAACCAAGGAAAGAAGGAAGAACTTAGTAAAAATAAAAGCAGAAATTAATGGGTAGAAGCAATAAATGCAAAAACTAGTTCTTTAAGAGAATGAAACAGCTGAAGTAATCAAGAAAAGATGAATCAGAAATTTATATTAATATAAAAAGGGAAGTAACCATTTTAAATCTTTGAGTAAGATTTCATGAAGATACAGAGAAAATTTTAAAGAACTTTTGAAGACCACTTTGCTCAACTCCACAAAAGTAGATTTGGAAACCCAAATGACATCTAGGATAATATTCTAGTAAAACAAATTACTAAACTTAACCCCAGAAAAGAGCAAATCTAAACAAACCGGATTCCCAAAAAGAAAGAAAGAATGCCATCAAAGAGCTATCCCCAAACAATTCCCAGACCTAGCAAGTTTCACAGGTAACTTCTGTGTTACCTGTGTTCAGGTAACTCCAGTGTTATTTTAAAAAGCATACATAATGACCAATTGGCATTTATACCAAAAAAGCAAGGATGGTTTCCCATTAGAAAATAATATAATTCGTGCTATCAGCTTACAGGGAAAAATTAGATGATAATCTCCCTGGATTCTGAAAAGGCATTTGATAAAGGCATACACACATACATACGCAGAGGAATAGGAATAGATACTTAAAGGTACAAAAATTAGGAATCAATACAGACATAATATTTATACAGATGCTCCTCGACTTAGAGTGGGGCTACATCCAGACAACCCATCTTAAGTCAAAAATGCATTTGATTCCTGACTTACAAAGGTTCAAGTTTCGACTTTACGGTGGTGCAAAAGCGATATGCATTCAGTAGTAATTACAACCCCATCGTGAGAGTTCCTTGGTGTATGATGGGATTATGTCCCTATAAACCCATCAGTAAAGTGAAAAAATCCTAAGTAGAAGCATTTTAAGTTGGGGACTGTCTGTACTGTGCAACACACCTAGATAAGGAGCATTTTGTTTTGATTCACCATTCTTGTGAACTGGAGTTTCCTTGGCCTGGTACCAGTTAGACGTGTGTGCTGCTGGAGAGGACAAATGTCTACCTGTTGCCTCCTTCCCCTGACGCTCTCCAAGTGGTTCTGCCAGAATGCCTGCAATGTCCACTCTTTTAGCAGTTCCTTGGGTTTAGGTGGCAATAACATGCACATATGTCATCTGGAGGGGCTGGTTAAACCCTCTGATAACTGTCCTAAGAAAGTGGAACTCCAAGAGGACCAAACTGAATGGATGAAAATCCTGGCATGAGGAGAGGAGAAAAGTGTGGGCATTGCTTGGGAGACCCAGGTTCTGGTCCTGTTTCTACCAGTTAGGTGAACTTAAACAAGTTGTTCCATCTCTCTGGGCCTCACTAACCTCTCTGAAATCCAAGGGGGTATAGCAGACTCAAATCCTTATTTCTAACAAAACCTTATGCTAAACACCAATGTGTAAAACAGGTGAAGGCTGAACAGGGTAGGAGACCTAGAGG